GACAAAATGATAATAAAATATCTTTCTTTGTTGCACAAGAAAAAAGCAAAGGTCTTTTACTTCTTATTGATATTCTTAATTTGAGGGAACAATGGGTGTTGGTTGTCCAAAACAGATGGTACTGATTTTTCTTGTGCACACGAAATGTGTAATTGATTGAAAAAAAGAGATGTACATCTTGATGTTAAGTTTAGGGGCACTATAAGTATCAAGATACAACTTGGGATTAAGATTTTTTGGTCTTGATGGTAAATCAAATTGAAATATATCAAACTTTAAATAACAGAGACTCTTAGAATCATTTGACCGTGTCCTTCCCTGGTCACTTTCCCATGACAGAACGGATGAAAAGTTGGGGTGTGTTTAATGAGTAAATGATTTTTTTTTATTTAAACATGACTAACACTGTGTCTAAAAATAGAAAATGTTATTTCAAACAGAAAATCCCAATTTCCTCTTTGGAACGACACTTGTGAAAAAAAGGGGAGGGGGGCGGGCGGGGGTAGCTAGTAGACGGGGAGCTCTACCATTTTCTTGTTTAATATTCAAGATTTTAACAAATTATTCTCGTCAACAGAATATGGCTCATTTAGGGGGTGGGCTTCAATCCTGCCTCTTAGAGCCAACATCCCAGCAGAAAAAAGGAGGATATCTCACAAAACTATCCCCACTGGAGAATCGAAAGCGGGAATCATGCGTACGTCAGCAAAATGCCAAACCTCTGCACCAAAGACGCCACTCTGTTTGTTGTTCTTTTGACGTTTTTGGGGTTTTTTTTGTTAGTTGTTTTTTTTATGACACTTGCTGCAAATACTACATGATCTGTGTCCTACACCCCCTAAAAAAACCTCTGCCCGTTCATTCTCAGTGTAAATCAAATTCACTTTCATCTCATTACTCTCTTCAGATAAGAACTAAATTACAACGCCCACGTATTTATATACTCTGGGACTCTTTAAAGCCATCTCATTTTCCTCACACACAAAGACAACAGATTACGCCAAAGAATTTCTTATCAAAGCTCCTTAGCTGAAAAATAGCTATGATTTATAAGCGATGTAGGATTTATGTGTGTGTATTTCTTCTTTCAAAAATACGACCGCCTTGCATTACGCTAGAAACGAACAAATTATTAGCTCTTGAAGTTAAGCGTGGGTGGTCCTTAAAGCAAACCATCAAGGCTTGCACGTCAATAATCTATTCATTACGACACCAGCTAACTCTGATTAGGTTCTGTCGGTACGCAGTCAAAATGTCCAAAATAAGCCCATAAAGTAAGATTTTCCAGGAGAGAGAGAAAAAACAAACGGTTTTATTTTTTTAACATTATTTTTTTATGCTCTTACTTTATATTATAACACAATCTTTCTTTGTTTCTTTTGTGTATGTTTTGTTGTTCCTTTTAACATTTGAATTTAAAAAACATATTTTTCGAGCTCATGAAAAGAATACAATTGCAATTTTAAAAATCAAAATGTTGGACTTTGTAAGTTTGGTCGCTTATAAGCCCAAGGGGGCTATCCCGGAAAATGCTGTTTTGGGAAAATTGAAGATAAAGTTTTTGGATCCTTCTTCAGTTTCTTTAAAAGACAAGGAGAGTTTTCTCTATAAACAAATAAATATACACACCACTGAAAACAAACTTGTCCTATATATTCGGGCAATGCCCCCTTTTAGTGTAGGCCAAGATTTCTGGAAACCCCCGAAATCTGGGTTAGCCCGCTTGTCCTTTAAAGCGGCCATTTAACATCTGGCCGAGACACAATGATTTTTGCCTCTTTTCAGGAAACTGCACTCAAAACTCATGATAATAAACCGAAACATTAAATACGACATGCTTTCAAAAGCTTAATACCTAAATGTGCATGCGCTCTCGCATATTTCTGGTGTAGTTTTGCTTTACGCTCGAAAGTTATTATTCAAAATTCCAGGAACATCTGGCGGAAACGAAAGAAACGAGAAACGTTATGGTCAGGAAGTACACAAAATGTTGTCCTGAAAACTGGGCAGCGTTTCGTCTATAAAAATCAACAGAAAATGAAATTGTTATTGTTTTCATTATGGAGAATTGGAAAAAAAGAAAGAAAATGTTCGTTATGATTTTAGAACTTCTGGCACGAAAACATAATAATATATTTAATTGATTAAAACATGTCGAAGTTAAGATGGCATTGTGTTTCGTCTTCTTGATTTATTCGCTGCATTTGTATGTACACACACACACACACACACACACACACACACACACACACACACACACACACACACACACACTCTCACACACACACACACTCTCACACACACACACACACAATCACACAAAATCACATACAAACACACACGCAAACGCGAACACATACACGTAATCACACCGACGCACTGGCGTGCGCACGTACACTCGCGTTTAAATACATGAACACACAGACTCTCCTTCCCTCCCACCTCTCTCTTTCTTTCTCTCTCTCTCTCTCTCTCTCTCCCTCTCTCTCTCTCTCTCTCTCTCTCTCTCTCTGTATATTATATACAAATATCATATATATCTATTTACATATATATATATATATACATAGACACACGCTTATTATCTACATATATAATTTTATACATATACATATATATAATATACACACACAAACACACACATACATACACACATAACACAGCACACACACACACACACACACACACACACACACACACACACACAGACACACACACAGACACACACACACACACACACACACACACACACACACACTCAAGAAACAGAACAAAATGAGATTAATAGTGATAGATTTTCATTTACACAATGTAAGTCATTACTTTTTTGGAGACACGCTATATTGACCTGGCCGGCCAACTGGGCAGAGTGGGATACAGCATCCCCGAAGTGGAACGAATATAATAATAATGATATAATGATACATTCGACAAAAACTTCCCCGTTCGGTAAATCGAACTGCTGTTTCCTCTGTGCAAAGGCAAAAATTCTAACCTCTGTGCCATGGACGTTTGTTTAAAGAAAACGTATCAATCAATCAAAATGTTTGTTGTTTGTTGTTGGGGTTTTTTTTGCGAAGCACCTAGACATAGCAACTGAAAGCTTTGCCAACTTTCAGTACGTTTTTATAGTATTTGATTTATTGAGAAGCTATGAATAGAAAGCTTTTTTTGCCAAGATACAAACGTTTATGTCAGGATAGTGCAACAATGTATTTTTTCTGTGATTTCTTAAAAAAGGTAATGGCATTTACCAAGATGCACAATTGTGTTTAAGGATATTAATAAAATACAAGTGTGTTTTCTTAAATTAATAATTAACGACAATTTACCAAGATACGAATATTTCGTTGTGGATTATATAGTATAAAACTATGTTCTCTCAAATAGCAAATGACATTTAAAGAATAAATAAAATGTGAATATTGCGCACATTGACAGAAAGACGAATGAGACGCGCTCATATGACCGTATGCAGTTGCGAGCGCCGTAAAACCCTCTATTATAAAAAAGACGAATGAGATTAAATTATTACGCAATCATTTATGACTCGCCCACAACAGTTTCTTTTAGGAAAATCAAATGCAATCGGGATGAAAACATTGTGGTGAACGAGGTCACTCAAACAACAACAATCTTTATATTATCATACTCCCACTGAAAATGTCAAAGATGGACGGCGGAAGCTGAGACGAGACGTAGCTGTGTTGACGATCTCGTGACAATCATGATTATTAATACTTTTCGTGGTGTATTTTTGTTTGACATTTTCCCAATATGTCTTTGCCCTTTGTAGGCTGTGTCAGTAGTTCAATGAGTAAAGTGATAGACTACATGACAATGCACATAACCTTTGTTTGAATCCCTAAAGTTGTGTTTATAAAGCTCTTTATTGTATCGGAGTTAGACATTTTTTGTCAATGTTCTTCTCTTTTCGCAAACAAACAACTTTTTTCTCTTACTCTTTCTTTCTCTGTCTCTGTCTCTGCCCGTCTGTCTGTCTGTCTGTCTGTCTGTCTGTCTGTCTGTCTGTCTGTCTGTCTGTCTGTCTGTCTGTCTGTCTGTCTGTCTGTCTGTCTGTCTCTTTGTCTCCCATTCTCTCTCTCTCTCACACACACACACACCCTCTCTCTCTCTCTCTCTCTCTCTCTCTCTCTCTCTCTCTCTCTCTCTCTCTCTCTCTCTCTTTCTCTCTCTCTCTCTCTCTTTCTCTCTCTCTTATTCGTGTCTCGATTTCCCTCTCTCCCAAAGTCCAGCCTGCGATGTACATACATGTGAAAAACGGTGTTATTGTTTTCGACAACAGATGATAAATAATGCACTGACAATTAAGACAATGGTTTCAGATGATGCCACCTGCGAAATAGATGTCCATGCTCTCGTTGTGAGTCTGTTTCTTTCGCTTTCTCTCTCTCTCTCTCTCTCTCTCTCTCTCTCTCTCTCTCTCTTTCTCTCTCTCTCTCTCCCTCTCTCTCTCTCTCCCTCCCTCTCTCTCTCTCTTTCTCTCTCTCTCTCTCTCGTTGTCTTTCTCTTTCATTCTCTCTTTTTGTCTCTCTATCTGTCTGTCTGTCTGTCTGTCTGTCTGTCTGTCGGTCAGTCTGTGTGTCTGTCTGTCTGTTTGTCTCTGTCTCTGTCTCTGCCTCTGTCTCTGTCTCTGTCTCTCTCTCTCTCTTTCTCTCTCTCTCTCTTTCTCTCTCTCTCTCTCTCTCTTTCTCTCTCTCTTGTCCTTTCTCTTCCTTTCTCTTGATTCCGTTTCTACACATCTGGTAATAGTACTCCCAAACCCACGCACAAACACACAAACACACAAAAAGACACACAAGAGCGAGAGAGAGAGAGAGAGAGAGAGAGAGAGAGAGAGAGAGAGAGCGACACACACACACACACACACACACACACACACACACACACACACACGCACGCACACATTCACAAACACATACTAAACCACTCTCCCACTAACGTGCGTGCTGCTAAAACAAAAACGAGAAGGAGTATCGTATTATCAAACAGGCATTTATTTTCTCCAAAGAAATAAACCACACCAACAACTGAATCATTATTTCCTTGTTTTCCGTCGAGCCTCAGTCCTCTGGCGCAGACAGCTGCCGGCGAGACATATTTCCAAGAACTATTCAAAAGAGAAGACAAGAAAGAGAAACTGTGAGCATAATCAATAACACTTGAAAACATTGAGCAATAAAACACCTGTGTGGGATGGGGTTTTTAAAAAGGTAAGAAAAAACTTTCTAGAAGGATAGAAAGAAATGCTATAAAAAAAAGTTCCATTCAGAATATGAGATTTTCCAGCCTCAGACGTAACAATAATTTTTTTTTTTTCATTTTGGAGGATATTAATCTCCTTTTAAACTTCGTCTTCTCGCCTTCCCACGTTTGGGAAACAGCATTTTAAAGGGCAATATAGGAGAAAATAAGTCACAAAAGAGGTAATAAATACGACCAAACTAAAGAACAGCAGCAGCACAAAAATTACTCCTTTGATCATCAACATAATTAGAGACACGTTTTAGAAGAAACAGCAAACTCTTCAGACATCAGAACTTAAACGATGGTGGCATTCCATATATCCCAGAACATAACTCAGTTGGATATTCATGATTTTGAGCTTAAGAATAAATAAAAGAGAAGCTCTGTTCGCTAGTCATATTTATATAATGTTCTAGAATTTAGCCATTTTTATTCCCAATCCCACTTTAAAAAATTGAACCTCCGTTGTTTAGTACAGGTTCGAAACTGCAAGGAGGAGTGCAAACGCAAATTCCGTAAACAGTTGTATGGAGCTACAGGCTGAGTGACTCAGTAGCTCAGACTCTAGAGCTGGGCGAAGAGTCGATTCTGGAACCGATTCCCACGATTAACACTACGAAAGTAAAGTTCCGTCTCCTTTTTACGTAAACCAATGGTTGCCAGTTATTTTTATCATTAAAAATCTTCTTTTTTTTAAAGAATTATTTTTGAAAAAATAGAAGTTGGTGCTTCGTAGTGTTCCAATATCAAGGTTATCCTAAATCCTGAAGATGTTCGGAGCCAACCAGGTAACCACCGGAAACAAATAACATTATTAGAAAGCAAGTAATTGGGTTCGGAGTCGATTCCTACGATCCCTAGCTTTCAATAATCGGGAACCTAGCCGCCCAGCACTATCAGACTCACAATTATTTCGAGCTCGAGTCGGTAACATGGTGGTTTATGGGTTGCTGATCACTGGGATGTGTCCTTAAGCACAACACTATAACTGAAGCTGACAATTTGGGAGTAGCACAGTGAGGTCCTCAACCATCCCCCACCCCCAAGAAAAAAAATGAAAATAAAAAATAAAATAATTGGAATCTGCAGACGTCGAGTCGAGCAATAATACGTGCGAAGCTACAGTATGGAAAAAATGGATGTTAAAGGAATATGGCTTTTTCAAGCATCTCAGATCACAGCTCGCCTGGGTTGGAGTCTTTTCAGTACAAAGTGACCCAGGCGGTAAAACATATTTATGTATTGTTGGTCGTTACACTTAGACACGGACAGAAATAAACAGAAGATAATGTCTGCCACTGAGAGTGGAACAACAAACATAACAATTTACTCCATAAAAATTTAACACAAAGAAATATGACAGTTTCCATTTCCTTAGAATACAGCTAGTCTTGGCTAAAGTCTAGTCAGTATAAAGCGCATAGAGCTTGCTGTCGAGCGGAGATATGCGCTATGCAAATGATATTTATTATTTATTATTCTTAGTGTTGTTATTACTACGTTGGCAGTAAAACTCTGGTCCTAAAACAAATTTATTGTTTTTTGTTACAACTAGATAATAATATGTACACTTTCTAGAGGTTGTTACTTCGCCAACACACCAGGATTTAACGTGTGTTACATTTGGAAATACAAAGAGCATGTCCAAAGAAACGTGCTGCTTGCTGTTTCATAGCAAGATAATCAATTTTTTTGTGAAGAACAGACCTACACCCGTTCGTTGTTTCCATATCCTCGGGCAGATTTCCTTTTCTTTTGAACTTACGTGACTCGTCCCATGATATTTTTAGAACTGAAAACGTGTTGGAACACCAAAACGTTTGCTTTTTTATGCCAACAAGACACCTGAAGGTCATGTAATATCACTTTTCTTGTCTTTTTGGATAGAGTAAAGCCCCAAAAGCTTTCGCTAGACATTTGGTGTCAGGAAAAAGAAAAGTGTGACGAGCTATCGGAGAATGTAGCCCATTTGTTGATTAGTGTTGGGGGGAAACCATTCCGTTTTCGTGGCTTGTACTAGGTCATTGAATTACGTTACAGAGGGGAATATTGGAGGGATGAAAGGGCAAGTTTGGAGTTGGGGGGAAGGCGTGCTCTTGGGAGGGTTGGAGGGGGGAG